GAATCTGGATTCATGCCGACTTTTAATTTTCAGTGGCAAAATAATTAATTCAGTGGCAAGTCTACCATCGGATAGGGTCCCTGCTTCCCACCGAAATGCCGAAATTTTTGCGAATATATTTCATTGCAGATTTTGCTGAACAGGCTAATGTCCGATGCCGACACATTCCTAATTTAGACTTGAGCCTTATAAGGGGATTACAAAACACTCTACACAGTGTCAACCCATACGTTACCGATTTCAAAACCGCTCTGGAATCGGTGCCTGAACACGAGCGCGATAATTTTAAATCCGTTATTAGCGCAGACAAAAGACCGACCGCAGCCCATCCAGGACGATATAACGCACCAACATCAAACGAGGTAGCCGTCCTCTTGGTTGACCAGGAATGCTACAAAAGAGACATTGTTTTACGTACACGTGATGATCGCCTACAGCGTATCAGCGAGACACATCGCGCTTATGATACCCTACAGTATCCCCTAATGTTTTGTCGCGGAGAGGATGGCTACCACTTTGCCGTATACAATGTAGATCCGCAGACAGGTGCCCCAAATTATAACAAAAATACTTCCGCCCTCCAGTTTTACAGTTACATGATTCAGCTCCGTTCCAACGACAACTCTCATCTCAATTATTACCGTGCACTCTTTAGTCAATTTCTGGTAGATGAGTATACCCAAATTGAAACGGAGCGGTTGGTGTTCATTAGAACGAATCAACAGAAAACTACGTGCACCCAAGGGACGCCATGCGAGAGTACTCTAACGCGGAAAATGTTGGACGGATGGTGATACTCCCTTACCAATAAATTAACTACATAACTTTCAAATTTTGAGTTTACTAAGCTAAATAGTTTTTGAGGTAGGTATCTAAGCTTTAGAGTATTTTGAGTATTTCTGTAAATCAACAAACTATCACTAACTATTATTAAAATAAAAATAGAATAAAAAAATACTTATGCGATACGTGGACAAAGGCACGGGTACAGCTATAGTTATAAAGAATTTTTTTTAAAGTTATTTGCAATACTATTGTTAATTCAGTGTACCCTTGGGATCCGGTGCATTCCGCATTGGATCGGTGAAATATACGGGATGAAAAGTTGTTTGTTGTATAGATGTTCAGTCTAGGCAACATATAGGCTATAATTTATTTTGGAAAATGGAACACCTGATGCAGAACCGCAACAGACCAGCTAAAGTATAAGAGATATAAAAATGGTGCCATAGCAAAAAATATTCCACGTGAAGAGTATTTTCTGCTGTGAGAATAAATTTGAAAATCTGTTGTGGAACACCTGTTGTGGAACTCAAAAGCCCAGCAACATTATAACATATATAGGAATGACGTCCTAGCAAAAGTTGTTTAGTCTGATGGGAATTTTCTGTTGACTTACAAAAATGTAAAGATAGGGAACGTCTCGAATCGTCTCGCGCATCACGTTGTTTTCCCGTCCCCGGGCTCTTGCCCAACACGAAAACTTGGAAAACAACGTGAACGTCAGAATTCTAAGAATAATTCGCCATCAGACGTTTTAGATCTTCGATTTTGACGACCCCGTTGTCGCTGGCATAAACAACAGGATACGCGTACGAAGTCGCGGGGAGATGCTGGTAGGCTATATTCCAAAATATAACCCAGTGTACTGTCCAATGCAAATGACTTCATGAATCGACGCTATACTGGTGATTCGTTCCAAAACATAGGACAGTATATGACGTCATACATTAGCGCCATATTGGAAAAGTGTAGGCGATTATTTTGTACTCCAAAAATCATTATATCCTCCTAATGGAGATACCAGCAATTATTCTATAATTTTTTGTATTTGAATAAATAAAAACAAATTCTGGCATGCTTCATTCAGCGTACACATAATTAAAAATTGTTTTATTATGGCCGGATATCTGACACAATATGGCGGCGGCACGCCAGTACAATATGGTGTCAATTGATGACGTCCTTTGTATACGGCAGTATACCTACTGGAAACGTTTCGAAACGTACCCAATACCCATAATGTATCTGTGCATATTGTATAAATTACTGCATAATTGTGTGGTGTGTAGGTAATTGATATTAACCTAAAATGTAAGTTAAATAAAGAACTGATTTATATCCTATACCTTTAAACGAGCAATTCTTGTATATATATATATATATATATATATATATATATTTTTTATATATATATAATCGGAATTTCGGAAACGGCTCCAAGGATTTTCATAAAATTTTGTGTGCAGGGAGTTTCGGGGGCAATAAATCGATCTAGCTAGGATTTATTTTTAGAAAATGTCTTTTTGTCCGTGTTTTTAGGTAATGAAAAACTGTTACAATATCGTTAGAATAAGAAGGTAAATTTGGATAGTTTATTAATGATTACAAATAGCATAATTGGTATATTGGGCGGCCACAAAATCGTAATACCATGGTTCGAGCCCAGACCGACCGACCGACTTTTTTTTAATTTTTTTTTTCAAGTTCCTTTCTTTTTTTGAGAAAATCTATTTTTTCGAGCCCTTTTTTTAGTATTTTTTAAAACACAAAAATTTAAATTAAACTAATTGCACTCATGATTTTTTATTCAAATAACCAGTTCAGTTTTTTCTATTATGTCGCTAAGATCCAAAAATATTATTCGTATTTCATCAGTATGTAATTTGTATCTAAATAGGTATAATTTCCAAAACACACGAATTAAAAAAAAAACCGAGCGAAAAATACCGAGCAAAGCTCGGTCAACCGGGTACTAGTAGTAATCTCTGTTATTTTTGTAAGTACATAAAGTTATTGATAAATCAAAAATAATAGTAAGGTTTTAATTGTGCGAGTTTTGACAGACGATTGTTTAATGTGCACAGATTTCGCCCCGCAAAAAATGACAGACAGTTCTGTATCGGGAAAAAACGTGGTTAATGTTAACGGCTATTCCCCTCCGGCCCGCCGCGCCGGTGCGGTGGCCCGTGTTATCTATGCACCGAAACCACCTTCAATTTGTCTTAAGAACATGCAATCACGAACAAATATATATCTAAAATCATTTGCAACCAACAAGGTTTACGTCACTACTTTCGTTAAGCAATATTCGTTGCTTATGTTACCTGTAATCTACATACCTACGTAAATAAGTTTATACGGACCCCATAGAGTAGAGTAATATATGGACCCTCAAGACGTGAGTCCTAGTCACACTTGTACAGTTTTTTTTAATAATTATAACACTTGACGCGGCGTAAGATAATCCATCACACCATTTAGATATATGACGATAAACCATCTCGTTTACGCCAGGCTTAAAATACTACAACTACACTTATAACATGGTGTAGAGGATATTTTTAAGTCGCCACTAAAAAGCTGCGTCGAAAAAACTTTTACTTATAATATAAATAACTACAATAATATCTACTACATAGATTATATGTTTTGTTTATTTGTATAATTAAATGAACCTTAAAATAAAGCACACACCGCCAGAATACAATAACCTACGAGTAAGTAAGCATCGCTTGTTGTAGATATTATCTAGCAAAAATTATTAAAAGGTTATCGTACAAGTTTTAACAAAGAAGTAAGTTCTTGCAATAAGTACGAAAGATTATACCACTACGTTCTAAGTAGGTACATTTACTTCAGTGTATTTGACCTAAAAAACAATAACATTTATATCTTATCTTATACTTAACAATTTTTCGATCAATGATTCAATAATTTTATCTTATCCTAAACTTAGCAAACTCTCTAACTTCGCATTTTCTATATCACAATTATTAAAAAAAAAAATACTGTACTTTCTAACAATACACCATCTACTCGTAAACGTATCTAGTAATGGCAACACGTAGAAGACATGTCCAGCAACAAAATGATTACCTATGTTTACGCGAATACTACACATGAAATAAAACTAATTTTACGAATTTCATCGCATTTAATTTAAACTTTTAAATTCTTAAACACTGCCTGAAACCTGCCTGCCTGCTGTACTACCATACGTCAAAGGAGTCACAGGCAATATTGGTTACGTCTCCAAGTAGGCTTACATACGATTATACTACAAGCCGACAAGGAAGAGTAGTTAATTTTTACCATCAGTCAAGTTTAATATCCCTCTACAAGATGCAGGGATGTACAAGCACGATGGCGAATGTGGTCTCTTTTACATAAAAGAAACAAAAGATCCATAAAACCCGCGTAAAAGATCATGTAGCTGATGTGAAGCACCGACGGGAATTCTGCAGTATGTCAAAATGTCGTCCCTTATATCTAATTTGATAGACCACAAATCCTCGCAAAAAAACGATTCCTAACAAGGATGATTCGCAAAGCTATTGAAATTAAAAAACATTCCACTTTCAATAGAGAAGATGGCTGGGTGTATCTGGGTGCAACCATGTGATTGGGATCCCATAATTAATAATATTTTAAATTTTAAATCGGAGTACAAGCATACAAAACTTCAAGATAATGTAAGATCGGTCTACGTAGATTGGACCAAACTTTAATACTATTTAAAATTTAAATGTAGCCTTCGGAACTATCAGGACATCGAACACCTCAATCAACGTGGCCATGGTAGAGCGTCTCAAACGTCGGGAATTAAAAAGTTAAAAACAAACGCGATCAAAACCTTAAAACTAGTATTATTTAAAATTAATTTTTTAATCTTTATAAAAAATAAATTAAAATAATACAAATTTACATATTTGTTACATACAATGCTTTCTATGCAAAACTATACCAAAATATGACTCAAAAATGATTAGGTACTAAAGAGATTTACTATTTTAACAATATTTTGTTTTAGCAATTGCAAAGACTGTGTATTCGCTTAAAAATTTCAAACTATTGCAATAATAACAGTAAAGAAATGTTAGCGGTTTATGATCAAGCCTAAAAAGGTACACAAATGCACATTGATGAATCACACCCGAATGAAATCGAGCGAGTCACTAATTAGATTACTAGTAGTTTGTAGGTAGTTATTGTTTAATTTAGACATTAATCCGACATTCGTTATAAGGCGGAGGAGGAGTCTCAGCGCGGTTCGGAACCCTAATCGCATCGGCTTGCAACATTGGCTCCCTAACACCGGGTACGCCGTACGCTGGTAACGGTGAATTCCTCTCCGGCGACGACGTAAGCTGCCGCCGGAACAATGGCGGCGTTTCCAAATCCGGATTTAAGATATTGCTCAAAAGCAAATTCGTTCTCATGTCACCATCAGCTAATCTATTAATTCGTCTACGTGGTCTGCTATTGACATTTCGCAAGCACATCAAATTACCGCATGTACAAAACTGTCGCAGCCAAACATAAGTTCCGACTACACCAATGGCGAGTCCTACTTCTAACCCTATGACGAACGCTTGAAACGCTGAGAAATCTTTGTCGAACTTTTCAAACGGCGTGAGAGACTTCGTAGGAACTTCCGACGAAATAGTTTTATTATCGCTTTTTGTGACATTCCAAACCTGGTCCACATCAACTGCCTCTTTCTCCGGTGTTACAACTGAAATCATTTTCTCCGACATCTTTGGAAATTTCTTCTTGCACTGCTTGGTATAAGTTATACCGCGAGATACAATCCAAGTTTCGACAGCGATAAAATCTGGATTACACTGTAAATACTCGTTTCGCAGTTCTACTCTTTCCAATTTTTTTAAAGGGCGTAACACTTCAAAATTTATGGAGATCATGTAATTATCACTTAGGTCCAGCTTTTTTAAATTTGGCAATCGTGTAAACAGTCTCTCCGGTAATGTCTTAATGCGACAATTGTTAAGGTTCAGTATCTGCAAAAATATAGAATTGCAATTAATTTCACCCTTGGAAATACGTATAATAATAATGTCATTACATGAACAGTAAAGTGGAGATATAAGAGAAGCTTCACAGGGCTATGTAACGTACGATTCTTTAGCTATTTAAAAATAAATGTAGTGATGCACTTTCGCATATGGCATAAGTGTGTTCTTCTGTTTTAAACTTTAATTTTCCAATCATATCAATGGGCACGTGTATTTTTAAGTATCTGTAGTCTGCGCATTATTACTCTTCTGTCGAAAAACTATCTTTTCATCGGTTTAAAAAATATTCAAGTTTCTTGGTATGCATTCATTATTATAAAATATTCTTGTTAATGCAGTCCCTAACCATTTTTTAAAGAAACATAATTTGCATACGAAATCTGAATTTCGTCTCTATAATCATTATTACATAAATATCCACTCGTGGAAATGGGGACGTCCCGATGTAATACGGTACGGTGTTGCCACGGTCTCAATCAGCCAATGGGATATATAACACTGATCCATTAAATTTTGTATTTATTGTTTAAGGACTTTGTGTGGTGTGCATGTAATTTATATTATTATTATTTAAAGATAATTATACGTGTTAGAGCCATGCTGCAGTTATATTAGATGTATAGTTGTAGCACGAATGGGTCGGCTCGACCGGGGAAGGACCACGCTCTCACAGAATACCAGCGTGAAATAGCAGCTTAATGCTGCTGTATTTCGTATGGTGAGTGTAGAGAACCGGAGACCCTTTTTACTGGATACGAGGCATTCCGTCTTAGTCCTCATGGGTGACAACGCATCTGCATTTTGATTCGTAATCGAGGATAGATGTAGACGTCCATGGGCCACAGCAACCACTTACTATCAGGTGGACTGTGTGCTCGTTTGTCAACCGATCCTATAAAAAAAATTCATTTTAGTTTATCTTACCTGCAGCTTCGTATGCATTAGGAAAGGTTCATTCTTGAGAGATTCAAAAACATTTCCCGACAAATCAAGTGTGTCCAGATGCGGTGTATCCCAGAACAAATCCGGTGGGATATATCGTAGTCTGTTTGTACTCAGATCTAGATAAATCAAATTATCTAGACCGGAGAATGCGTGCAGTCCAATCCAAAAAATTAGATTGTATGATAGATTTAGTATTCGGATTGATGTGTAGCCGAGTTCCTAAGGACAAACAATTTTTATTGAAAATATAAATTTTAATTTGAAATTAGAATGAAACTGGTCCTAGTTCTTTAATTTCGAGCATGGAATGGCAGATATCACGTAGAAAATTTCTGTCCGGTTATAGCTAACAGCCAATAACAGCAAAGATTATTCACACATTATACTAAGAAGCAGTCTACTTCTGTTATAAATGTACAAGCAATATTTAAAAGTATGCTCATACTATATATTGTGTGAAATTTTGAAAACATTTAAATGTTTGTAAATCAATCAGCCAATATGCATACAGCTAAATAGTTAGGAATGAAATTTGACATTCAGACAAAGTCTGTTACCACGGGAAAATTTAAATGAAGGAGTATTCCCATTTTCATGTATTCTTACTCCGACGTATTTTCATGCAGGGGGAGCCGCGGTATAAAATAAATAACGTTTTTCTTTTCGATAAAACATATTTAACAAAGAGCGTTTCCTTACTTTAAAACAAAAGTTGTCCAACTCGCTAATCACATTATGACTTAGGCTGTACACTTGCACTTCACGCGGAACTCCGACTCCGACGCTGACAATATTTTGGTTCACACACGTCGCCCTATTCAACCCATTTTCCATGTCACAGTCACATTGCTTCGGACACAAAGTACTATTGGCAAAAGCAATGTACGCAATTAAAATAAATGTATTCAACCCCAGCATCTTCTTTGCACTACTGCACTTACATATGAGAAGCTAGACATTATGAATTTAGTTTAAACCTCCAATAAATCAAACTGCACTAACGCATGCTTTCACACAATAATAGAATGATATAAAAATGGATAGAACACAATATATTCGAGTATGTGGATGCGAGATAAGATAAATTATTATCTAGACGTAGATTACTTACATATTAATGGTTAGAAAGTAAAGGTGTGGCAAGGAACTAAGTTGATTTTCAATATAAGTAGTATTAAAAATTAATCATTACAGCCTACCCAAAGTTCGTTGCTGAACACACTCTGCCCGATAGATCGTCAGATAAAGGGAATTTTGACATCGTTGTCACTCTTGGCTGGCGTATTGGCACTCGCAGTTTTTATTATTTTCAGTTGTTATTAGGAATATGCTCCTGTTCCAGTTTCCCTCTTTCGCTTCTTACGACACCCACGACATGATGTGGGGTTGTTGACATTCTTACGCCCAGATGCCTACGAATCGAAAATGGCGCCAAGGGCACACCTCAAAGCTGTAATGAGCTGAAACACTAGATAAAACATTCTCATAATGATTTCTTATATTTACGCGAACACTACACATAAAATAATAATAATAATATTGTGATCTTTCCGTTTAATTTGCGAGTATTACGGGGACCCCGTCAATGTAATGCCAGATGACGTTACTGAGGCGGTCCGTAGGGCCCCGATCTGGAAAAGTCCGGGACGCGACGGGTTGCATCACTACTGGCTGAAGGAGTTCGTAGTGTGTCACGCTGTGCTCGCCCGACGATTTCAAGAGGCTCTCGACCAGAAGTCACTCCCTAACCTCTTCAATACTGGGATTACTTATTTGGTTCCTAAAGACCAGGGTACCACAGACCCGAGCAAATACAGGACACTATCATCCATTTTGAGCGCGAGAATCACTCGTCACCTGGACTCCAATCAGGTGATTTCGCGCGCTCGAAATGATTTCGGGGCGGGTAGTCGTGGAACCAAGAAACCACTCTTCATTGACGCAGTCATTGGGACAAAGAAAGAAAAGACAGAAAGAAAACCGCATAAGGATAAGAAGGGATATGTTCCAGGGCGATTGTCTGAGTCCAATCTGGTCCTGTCTCTCTTTGAACCCTCTCAACACTTTACTTCAGCTTCGGAAAAGAGGTACAGAAGTGACTCACCTTTTCCATATGGATGACCTCAAGTTATTCGCCTCCAGTCGCTCCCATCTTGTGGAATTGCTAAACATCACTTGTGATTTTAGCAATTCTATTAGAATGAAGCTGGGAACGGATAAGTGTGCGATCCTCCATGTTGAAAGGGGAAGCTAACTATGAGGGCATAGATTTATGTGTCTGTCAACTTAAAGACCCTTTCCGAGGCTGAAACATACCGATACCTGGATATGTCACAGAACAATTTTACGTGTGGTAGAGCCACACTGCAGCTATTATGGTTGTAGCATGAATGGGCCGGCTCAACCGGGGAAGGACCACGCTCTCACAGAATACCAGCGTAAAATAGCAGCTTAATGCTGCTGTGTTTTGTATGGTGAGTGTAGAGAACCGGAGACTCATTTTACTGGAATCGAGGCATTCCATCTTAGTCCTCAAGGATGACAACGCATCTGCATTTTGTTTCTTAATCGAGGACAAATGTAGATGTCTATAGGCCACAGCATCCACTTCCCATCAGGTGGACTGTGTGCTCGGTTGTCAGCCTCCTCCTATAAAAAAAAATCGGTATCGATGAGGCTGGTATGAAACAGTCAGTTCGCGACGTGTTTTATGCACGCTTGACCAAAGTGCTTAACAGCCTTCTGTCCGGTGTGAATAAGACACATGCATATAACGTTGGGTCATGCCTTTGGAATACTTAGGTGGACTCAAACTGAACTTAACGCCCTGGATAGAAAAGTCCGCACTACTATGACGTCCCATAGGATGCACCACCCGAGTTCGTCGATTATGAGGTTGTACTTGCCGTACTTAAACATGGTGGCCGTGGTTATTTCAGCGCGCTTAGCATGCATAATCGCGAAGTCTGCAGCCTCCGTAATTACTTACTGACGAGATCGGATGATCCATTCTATAGGGACGTCATTTCTTGTGATAAAGGGCTTACCCCTCTATCCTTAGCCAACGAGCAATGGCAAGACCCAGCAGTATAGAGCATTTCCGACCGGGAGACCGTATGGAAGAAGTTCCACGGGAGGTTCTACAAGGCTCTATATGGACATTTCGTAGACACAGTAGCCTCCACCAACGCTTTGGTGACCTTTTTGGGGAAACCGAGGGTTTTGTCTGTACGATACAGGATTAGGTTATTAAGACCAACAACTATCAAAGATATATCCTAAGGGATGGCACCGTCGATATCTGTCGAGCTTGTCGCCATCCGGGCAGTTACACGTCGGGTTGTTCACCTGCCCACGTACATATATGTGTATACACACAAAAGCGTTATCACTTACGGTTTCCGCGCGATCCGCCACGAAAATATGAAAATTTTTTTATCATTTTATCGATTTATTTTTGCTGAAAGTTTAGTTTTCTCAAAAATTTCCAACTTTGCCCCCATGATACACATCTAGCCAGTAGCATTTCTTACTCAAGATCCGTGTTTGCTCGGTTGGTGTTATTAATTTGCTAATTGTTGCAAGATTCGAAGACTACTTACATCCTACATTGTATCTTTATTATATATAATATTCGACGGTACGATCACAAAAAGTATATTTTGTTACATTTAGTTTCTCAGTAAGCGAATTAAAGTTAAATCTTAATGAGATATAAAGTTCTTAAACTACAGATATCATAGTATAGAATAGAATATGTTCTTTAGAAAGAGGTTAATTTATTTCTAAACTGAAAGACTAAAAAGAGGTTAATTTATTTCTAAAATGGAAGAGTCCTGTCTTCAGTCCGCTTACATTTTTTTTTTCAAGTTCCCTTCTTTTGTGAGAAAATCTTTTATTTCGAGCCCTTGTTTTAGTATTTTTTTTAAAAACACGAAAATTTAAATTAAACTATTTGCACTCATGATTTTTTATTCAAATAACCAGTTCAGTTTTTTCTATTATGTCAGTAAGATCAAAAAATATTATTTCATACATCAGTGTGTAATTTGTATCTAAATATAATTTCCAAAATATACTATTTCCTAAAAAATACCGAGCTAAGCTCGGTCATCCAGGTACTGTACGTTAAATCGTGGTAGTTCACGGGCTTAGCACTCGCTGTAAATTTCACAGTACGGAAGCAACCTGGGTTCGATCCCCACCGGCACTAATTAAATTGATAATTGCAATATTAAGTGCTGATTTACTACGTGCTCAGCGGTGAAGGAAAACATAGTAAGAAAACCGGTGTAATGAATAATAAAAAAATATATTTTAAAGACATGTGAAGCCCGCCAACACGCATCGGGACAGCACGGCGGACACTTCCTTGCCCTAAAACCCTCTCAGAAGTGAGAGGAGGCCTATACCCAATAGTGGGACACGTATATAGGCTGTAACTTTATATGTAGGTTATAGAGCAGAGTTACATTTTATGCACTCACACTTTCCACACTCCCGCTCACAGGTAAGCGAAAGGAGTTAAGGGAAGGATATGTATATATATATATATATATATTATACGGGTATATAGATTATAGATTGAGTCAGGCAGGAGATGTCACTGTCAGCACAGATTAAAAATAGAGTTGGAAAACACAAGTAATAAATCGAACTGTAAACGAGATTTGATTTTAAGATTTCTTTAATTACGTTGATATTTTATTTTTGAAACTACTTACACTATGATGATTGTTATTTATGTAATTACTTTGATTGAACTCTATCTGCCGTAAGTTGTTTTTATGTTTAATTGTCAAAACTCATTCACATTAATCGATTAAAGTAATCGATTTCTTATTTTGTTAGTGACATAAACTTTTTTTTAAGATTTCTCGTCTACTAGATTGTGAGTTGGGCTAATTTTCTATTTTATGAAATAAAAAGGTATAAGGTTTTTTTAAACTATATTTCAACTTATTATCTACAAATGGGCCCAGTATCCCCGTCTCCTTTACGCATTATTCCGCAAGTATTCAAAATAACAGCTTTGAGCTTTCTGCAGCCTTATAGATAAGTATATTGAAGAGTTAAACTGGAGTAATTTTATGCTATTGTATAAAGATTTTGGTACAACTTCAGTTGCTGAAATGGCAATAGGAATACGAGTTTGGCGTTAGGAACCAAATTTACCTTTACACGTAGACTTCGGAGCGTACTTCACGCGCCACTCCGACGCGCGTTTTAAAGTGTATGAGTAAAATCAATATGCGCGCAGTCGGAACCAGCAAAACATCGCCACGCGCGTTCGTTGTATCCATAGCCACGCCATAGGGATGCTTTCATGCTGGCCATACCCAAATCTACATTATTCTACGGCAATACTCCAAAGACCTCTTTTAACTTTCCGCGTCCAAATCTTAAAGGCCTCTATTACGTCAGAGGTGTGCTAACAAAATTAGCTGAGTCCATATTAATCAAAAAACTAGCTTACAGATAATTTTAAATGTTTTATTTAAAATGTTAAGGTGTATTAGACGAATTACAGGCTGCTTCAAAACTTAATATAATATGATATGTATTAAGTTCTTAATGTAATAATGTTATAGATCAAGTGATTATTAGGGCATTATTCAAAATGCCCGGGCGACATGAATAATACCCAATATGAGTAGGCAATGTGATAAAAGTATTGAAACAATTAACATTATTTTATCGAAATTGTAAGAACCGTTTCCGAGAAATATATATTTATGTATACACACACATTATATATGGGTAAGGCCGTCGTTTTTGCCACTTTTTGATGAAAAAATGTTCTCATATTTTCATTGCTTATAGAAAACAACATAGTGGGTAAATTGTAATGGAGGTATTTTAATTAGGTTATACATCTCTTAAACTCTTACAACATATTCTTAATATTAATATAAGTTGTACATTAAAAAAAATACAACGAGTTAAATTCGTCCAGACTTCCAAATTTAACGAAAAACATGCTGTCTTTTTTAGCATTTAAACTATAAAACTTATATTTTTGTAATGAACGTTTAATTAATTTGTGACTATCTGAAATTTCTTAATAGTAAGCTACTACATCGTGCTTTTCATGTCTTTAATAACGCGTTTTTTTATAGATTTATTACTATTTAAACTTATGTTCCATATTTTTGCTTCTACGTTACTACTTTGTATGTTACCAAAATTTTCCCTTACAAAGCATTAAAAACAGTTTGATAGTGTTTTGTAATTGCACTGGCAACACTAAGTATTCAGGCAGCACAATTTTTTTTAAAAAAGACGCCATCTTGTCGTGTCGGAAGTCTGTCAAAGGTGCACGCGTGTGTTTCGGCAGTGAATTTTAATTGTGAATTTTGGCGATTTCAAAGGTAAATATCAGTTTTTATTGGTCACATATTATATATTATTATGCACGAGTAACTAATAAGTGCGTGGTAATGTGTCTATGCTTAAAATTCACCTTGATGTCGAGTTATGTCTATTTATAACCTTGAAAAATCGCACTTTAACGTTACTTCTATGTAGCTTTGATGTCACTGGTAACGTTGATTGTATGTTTCGTAACGTTTTACTGTTGTAAAGGTTTGTGCATATGTAATTTATTAAATATACTTTTTTGTAAAAAATATTTACCTTTTTTTTAAGTTTTGATCATGTAGAGTAATGAAAAATCCACTCAGTAATTTTTTATTTGATATACAGAGAGCATTTTTTTTATTTGGTTTCCAAGCAGTTACTAATCACCTACTTATATTTTTATTTATTGGTATAGATTGTTTTACGAAATTCAAAAAACACATAAGACAAGAGTAGTTTATTTGCCTTAATTAATTTGTGTCATTTAAGTAGTTTGGACATTCGTAAAAACTGAAAAAGAAAGGTTTTTAAACCATATTTTTTGTGCCACTAAGTGGAAAAATAAAATAAACTCAAAAAAAGTAAAAAACGACTTCAAAAAAATAAAGTTTAATCTTTTGTGAAAAACAATTAAGGATATCGATGCCAATTGTTTCTAAAAATTAAACCAAATCTAACTGTTTACCACGTATTTTTTTAAAAGTTTTTTTTTTACTTTTTTAATGCTTACTTCGATATTCGCGCGAACGGTCTTCTCTTTCTAGCAAAGGATGTCGATTAGCGTTAAAGAGAGATACACATACGTACAAAAAAATGTGTTGCGAGGCGGGTAGTGTGACCCTTAGTCAATGTATTAAACATGACTGGATGAATGAATTAGAGCCCTTAAACCATACTATCCCTTTAATTTTCTGATTAACAATAAAACAATATAAACATTGTCACAGATGCCGCCGACGACTTCAGCTGAAAAGCAGAAAAAATATCGCGATAAGTTGAAAAAAGAAAACCCTCAAAAGTATGAAGAAATACAAAAGAAGGCCAAAGAAAGATCTGCACGTTACTATGAGAAAAAAAAAGAGTACCTATACTGAAGAGCACAAACAAGAATTACGGAATAAATGGAAGGTAGATCGGAAAAAAGCAAAAGATGCAAAAATGGCATCACAAAATGAACCGGGTACGTCACATACTTCAAATTCCAAGCAAGATAATAACCAATTAACTTGCCGTAATATGCAACGCCGAATTGAATACAGACTGAAACAAGAAACGGAACGGAGAAAATTATTATAAAGTAAAATTTTTGAAAACTGTGAAGGATTTATCTGATTCCGTGAAGTTTGTAGTCCGAAGAAAATCAGATATTGATATAGTGACCAATATTTCTATCGTCAAAAAGGTAAATTTTATTCAACGGGAGAAAGCCTCTAAAGAATATTACCTGAGTAGAGAGAGTAGAATATTGATTTGGTTTATTTTAATTGTTGAATATTTATTTATAAGGTGTAAGAAAGGTTTTGTATTGCAATGACCTCTTATGTACAGACGCCAGCACATTAGCCCACTCCAATCTGTCAAATTTCTTTAATAGATTTTCAACTTTACCACAAAAGTAGACGGTTCATGTTCGATTGAGAAAATTTGACAGATTGGGGTAGGTTGATGTTCTCGCGTCTGTACCTAGGTTAAATAAAGAGAATTATGTAGTTTTTGTTTTTACTTATTTATGTTATTTCATTTGGCTACGAGATTTTTTTTAATTTTAAATTTGTTGTAATTACCTACTCGTATTTCTAAAGTATTTTTTAACTACAGATTATAAGAAACATTTCGTGTCAATTTTATAAGAAAATAAATATCAATATTAGTTAGTTTCCTAGAAATGTACCTACTATTTTATTTAAGAAGATAACCCGTGTGATAATTGTAAAAACTTTTAGAGAAAGATTATATTGTTCTAATTTTGTGATTTCACGAAACGCTATTGATCTCATTGTGTAGCTTATTTTATAGGTTTAAATCATATTACAATGCATGTTATTTCGTTTTTTTTTTGTTTTCGTTAGAAGAGTTTTTGTGAAACTCTATCCATGACATTAAATATTTTTGTTACTTCACTTATATCGTAGTATTATTTTCCTGATATTTGGTAAACTTGGTCAGATTTCATGGTTGTGTAATAACTCTAAGCTGTTGATAGTTTTAAACATTTTTCAACTTATTTTTTTTTTCTATCACTGAACTTCTCACAGTTGGCGAATTGTACAGTTAGCTTATGCGTCGAAACCTCCTCCTTTTTGAAGTCGGCTAAAAATAGCGCGTTATGCAATCGGCCTTACAAACATTACACGTTACTTTCGCGTTAGTTCTATGTTACCGTAACATAAAAGTGTCTATGTTACTCTATGTTACTCTATGTTACTAAGTGGCAAAATCTACGGCCTTACCCATATATATATATATATATATATATATATATATATATATATATATATATATATATATATATATATATATATATATATATATATATATATTTCGTTTCGCACCTGCCAACATTAATGAATGCCACATGGCATTAAATCCGTGTACCTTTAACTTAAAGTTGTTTAAAAAGCTTAAACTTTTTAAATAAAATACTCGTATGTATACAAAAATATAGCTCGCTACAGTATAAGATATTTTATTAAAAGTTCTCTTATACATTAATAGATTTATTCTTGACGCCACATTATTGAAGTTCTGTCCATTGATCTTAAATAAATACCATTAATATATTTACAGTATCACTAATATGAAAAGCGTTCCCAGTTACAACTTAGTATGCACACAAATTCACGTAACACTCAAACGAAAATATTTGAGTTCTGTCTTTGCTGTACGGATGTTGCGGTGTAGCATCTTTTCATAGTATAATCGATGCTTATTATTGCATTTCTTACGTCGAACACAGCAGCGTTGATACTCTCAAAAGTGCTGGCCAGTCGATCCACCGCCATTGCCTAATGTAACAGAAAAAAAAATATTACCTAGTATTTTCTATATTAAAATAATAACGTACTACTCTCAAAGGTTCTGGCCAGTTTATCCACCGCCATTGCCTATTGTAACAGAAAAAAAAAATAGCTAGTATTTTCTATATTTAAATAATAACGTACTAGAAGAGAATTTTGGCGGGAACATGACCGCTGTCGGATTGTTGCTCCTATTTTATCGTTTAATAACTAGCGATCCGCCCCGGCTTCGCACGAATGATTGCTAGATCTCGACAACCGCCACCTACAGAGTCCATATGTAAATATAAACCATCTAGGGACACATTCCAACACACACAAAACATTTCATCAAAATCGGTTGAATAGTCTATAACAGACATAGGTAGAAACATTTTTAGAGTGCCATAGTTACGCCACAAGGAACCTCTATAGTTTCTCCACGTCCATCCGTCATTCGTCCAAGGTTTTACTCAGACCCCAGGTGCTTTAAATCTGTAGTTTGGGATTCATACAATCATATAGCTTCATACAGTTTCATTCGTCATACTCTTGGTTTACGCGGGCAGTGGTGGTTTACAGGAAAGTGCGTTACGGTCATATATCTTAGAGTTGCACTGTCGGGAATATACAGATAACCTTTGTACGGACTTGGTATGAGAATAATTTGATGTAAATTGTATTATTATCAAAATCGAAAAGTGTTTTGTGATCTTTTTGAATACCACTCCCTGTCTCAGTTACTATCTTCGTATTTGGGCCCATTTTTAGTCGTAGCGGTCAAACCGTGTTCTCACTTATTATGTTAATTATCAAGAAAGCCCACATTTGTGACGGGCAAATACGGAACTCTACCTCGTACGTGACCCACCACGCACTTGGCCAGTTTATGTGTTTTATATAAATAGATTAATGGGTTTGAAGTGGATTTGACACGTGAAAGTGATGCGATTTTATGCATTAAGTGTTTGCACACGAGAATTATCAAAGGAAACGAAGAACAAGTGCTCCAATGTTAATTTGAATATCAAGTTAGGCTGTTCTAGCATATTGAGAATATCGTTGTCGACTGTCTGGCTCAAGCTGCCGTCAAAATCTTCGCAACGTGCCAAGAAGTTTTTAAAAAACTTTGCACGCTGCATTCTATATCGCTCAAGCAAAATATTATAGGCTCAGAGCCTGTTCTCCTCTTTTTAGTCATATTATTTTTATGCAGTCGGGTTTTACGTTATTAGCTACCTAGTTTCTTAGATATTTTAAGGTGAGGACAAAAAACCTACTTTACTAGGTGGTAGGATTTCTCTTATACGAAGTAATCCATCTGGGTGAGTATCATTATTTCCTTATTTCTATCACCAAATATGCACCAGGCATGCATTGCTGTGGTCTGGTCTGAAGGGTAAGCAAAGCCAGTATAATTACTGGCTTTGAGGCATTCATCTAAGTATTCAGAGGGTACAACGCATCTGTAGATCTCTTTGTTTAAAGTCGACTGCAGGTGTCTAGGAAGTATGGGCTGCAGAGCCTCAGAACAGAACTCAGCATCAGTTGGACTGTAAGTTTGTTTGTCACTTTAGTTTTATAAAAAAGCTAATCACTTTGCGGTACCACTGTCGTATATATTTGCTGATGACTCAGGAGAGAATACTGTTACGAGCTTAGGGTTCGTGACAGTAAAAACTGCCAATTGAATTACCAAAATTGACACTTTTATTGCCGAACACCAATTAAAACTTATAACACACTAATAATTAATCGCAGTTAACACTTTAGTTCACTTTATTTCGCTCCTAAGTCTTCACTTGTATCGCCAATTCTATACTATCTCGCAGCACAAACGGCTTTATATAGGCCTTTTCCACCGAAACATCTAGAATGTTGCAACAAACACCGGTCCCGACCGACTAGATGTAGAAAAGTCGAGTGTGGAGTTATCTAGAAAGCTTAGTTCTTCTATTCGATAATAGATGGCGCCAGCGCCATGTACCAGACATCAACTGTGACGCGCAACAGTACTAAGAATTTACCTTACAAAGTTACAATTACTAATAAGGACTAACTTTTGACCTTGATTTGTTTGAAACTAATTTTGTCAATATCGAGCACAGGCACAGAGTAGAAAGCCTGTTGAAACTACTGTATAGAATATATATCATAGCGTGTGCAGGAAAATACTGTACATTGGGTGTCGTAAGAGGATACAGAAGAAAAAACTAGGAGGTGGGCAGCAGCAACTTCCTAATAACAAATTTAAAAAAGGTTGCATTTTGCAACCCACCCTGTCAAGAGTGGCAACTATGGTAAATACCCCTTCTATAGGGGAGGCAGTAGACTTTTGGTAGGCTATAACAATAAGAGTAGCTATGTGTGATGATTTCGTTCCTCCCTCCCCTTTCTACTATTGAATAGCCAGAGGCACAGCGGGGCACCATCTCATTGTTATCGACAATTCTTGCATTCGATCTAAAAAGTTTACTTCTGTCGGTTTTGTTAGTTCGTAATGCGTACAGCACAAGAGTGCAATATTTTCCCAGCATCTGTCTTCCCATTCAATTAAAATATGAGTTTCATCAAGGCCAGAGTGATTAGACTTTTGTTAAGATAAGCAATACGTTTTAACATCTTTGGCTACATCACCAATTATTACAGATGATGTGTTACTAGTCGAATACTTGCTTATAATAGTTAAATACACATGTAAATCTAGATTTTTCTTACACAACATTGTACCTGTAAACTTTAGAAAGAAGTAAAGAAAGAAAAAATATTTATTTTGACACACACGTGAAGCACCATGACACAAAAACGAAGTCCAAACAAAAATACAATTTCAAGAATGGACAAACAGCCAAAAAGTAAAAAAAAAAACAAAAAACAAAGATAATTAAAATTAGAAAAAAAAATACTTAAAACTAGTGCCAATAGAAAATCTGCTGATTTTTTTATTGATCTCTTTGTTTATTTTATTTTGTGTATACTGTGAAGTTAGGAATTACAGTGCAGTTGACAACCGGCAACATATTATGTATGTGTTCATCATCAATAATTTAGTGATTTACCTGCTTATGTGAGGCGACCGCTATCCGTTCCAGAGCTTTAGAATTACTTAGAGTTGCCTCTGCCATTTGTGACATAGCAGACGTCTGCTGATCCATAACCTCTACCTATATTAAGTAAAAAATAACAGTTTACTGCCAATGACTCAGACTAAAGACCGATTTACACTTCGACAAGTACAGTAGCGAGTTTAGTTATAGGGCAGTCGACACTAAACGGTTAATTGGGCAGTAGCGTTCAAATTTCTTCGTGGCGAGTTTAGTTAAGGACATTAGTTCATAGAGTTCGTTGGAGTATGACGTTTCAAGACTACAAAATTTTTCCGGTTTTCGTTTAAGATGGTTCTAGGATTACGTCAAGAATTAAATGATCCAGTCAGAGAAGTATTAATGGTTGTTGTTAAAGAAGTTTTTAAGAATTTTCATGAGTGCAGCATCTCGAGCAGGTTTAATTTTACAATTTGAACTTCTACATTTATATAAACATTCGTGTTCTAAATACTCCTGTGCGAATTTAGGTATACGTGATATCTTCTATTTTATTATTAAAACTCAATATAAAACGTATAAATATTCAATAAACAGTATCGTACAAACTTTGTGGCAAGTTTAATTATAAAAGTACAATTGTACGTTTTGGCGCGCAAACTTTGCGTCCTGTCAACTTAAGCACTGAACTAAACTCGCTCGTTTACACGAACGGCGAGTTTAGTTACGGGTGGCGGGAGACGCGCGGAAGGGCAACACTTCGCACTTAACTCGCCGAGAAATAGCTCGGCCGGCTATCCCGTTCAACTTAATCGTTAACTTGCTACTTAACTCGCTTATTGCCGTTCAAACGAGGTTCAAACTTAACTCGCCAGGTTTGCAAGTTATCTCGATACTGTACTTGTCGAAGTGTAAATCGGTCTTAAGGGAGAGCATATGAACTTATAATGTGTAATCTAACTTAGTCACTTTTACTTTATTTCTAGATCGACGCCAAATATTTAGAATTAAAGATTAACATATATTATAAGTGTTTAAATTGAATCAAATAAAAATTGTTTTTAAATCAGTGTTTTCTCATTAAGGCTTAACTGGTCTTTCATTACACATGTATTGATAACTGCTAAAAAGAACCCCTTCATTGTATTTACTATTTCCAAATGCACTCCTCCTGTACCTCAGCCAGTTTCAGAACTGAAATTGGACGTTGATTTTGCAGTCACCTGATGAAAAGGCCAAGTTGGCCTCTTAGAAGCTTGACCATGTTAAGCAAAATTAGATTGTATTTCACGCCAGCCCATCCTTTATCATTTTATAAGGTGCAGTATCTACCTCACATAGAACAGTGTTCTTAACTTTGGGCCATGGCAAACTAGTACCAGTTCGTTCCATTTGACAGCAACCAACGAAGAGAACTTCAAATTGTCAATCACAAAGTTCTTATTTAATATAATTCACTGCTGTATAACTCTAAATTCCATCCACTTCTCGATGGTTTGCAATCTATCATTTTGATTTTGTTACAACCACTATAGCCTATAAAAGTTCTCAGCTGGACGGCCTCCCACGTAGATTGGCTCAAAGGGAGGGTTTTGAAATATTTGCCACATTTGGTAAGTGGATTGGCAACTGCAGTTTTTTATTGTTTTGAGTCGTTATTAGGAAGATGCTGCTGCCCGTCTCCTGCGTCAGTTTCCCTCTGCCGCCTCCTATGACACATACAGGACACTATGGGATAGCCGATATTCTTACGCCCCCACTACACCCACTACACTGTCTTGCTTTTGTATAGAAATTTAATAATAATTGTAGAAAATAATATCATTGAATGCAAATTAAATAAAGCATCATTACATAGCTTGCACCTAACTTCCACTTACTGACACTATGTGTGATGTATCTTATTACCTCTATTTGCTTACATTTTAAATTAAATCATTTTTTATATATTGATACAACATAGGTTTTAGAACGACCTCAAAACAAAATGTAATATGAAATAATAAATATATGAAAATAATAACATACTAATTTCTCCATCAAATTTAAATGCTTTTCATCTGCTTGTGTAGTCATAATTTGATCTGTATTTACTGTATATTCCAGATTCTCATCTTCCTTCCTAAGTATATTTTCAAGTGAATCATCATCTCCATTACATGTCTCTTGCTTAAATGAGTTCTTTCTTTCTGTAATTAAATGATTTATGTTTATGCAATTACAGAGCAATAAGTTTAGTTGGATGTCTGTAGCTCATGTCTCTACAGTGTAGAGACATGAGAGAGTAATCAATAAATTATGTAAAATAAAACTTACTATTTATTGTATGTTTGTTATTAGAACAGATGTCTAAAATTTTTAGTTCTAAAGGACTCAGTATATCATTGATTCTGCCCTCATTAATATGTTTTTGCCTTATAGCCACACTCCTTCTTTTATCTGACCAAAACTGAAAAAAAAGATGCATATTTATTAGGAATGAAAAAGAAACTTATTTCTCTTCATAAAATAGACTAGAGATCGGATAAATGTATGCATATTTACGAAAAGTTATTTTGCTACAAATTATGGAGGCGGCTTCTTAGGGTATTTTTATTAAAAATAAAATCCTGGAATTCCGGGATCCCATAAGTAATCGGATGTATATTTACGTTTACTTAAAGTTAAATTTTAATTTCCCATTCGATTATGTGTGTATGTAAGGTGTAAGTGAAAAAGTGGTGCGGTAAATAAAAGAACATAAATTAATATGAATTTATTTATTCAATAAGGACATCTTACACAATATCTTTATATTGTACACACAGAAAATACATATAAGAGAAATGAAAGATAGAAAAGTTGTACAAGGGCACATTGGGCAATATACATAAATAATGCTCAAGTTATTGTGTCGTTTCCCTTACAAGTAGCCATGATATGCACGTCTTACATAGCTAATATGAAGAAAAGGAAAACTAAAAACTAGTATTTACATTACATAACATAAACACTCACGCCTGTCACCCAGAGGGGTAGGCAGAGACTACGGACTTCCATTTGGCATGATCCTGACATACCTCTTTCGCCTCCTTTACATCCATATATCTACGCATACATGCTCGTCGGTTAAGGGTACTTCTAACGTGGCCCATTTTCAAAATATCGCCAATTTGGTCGATAAACTTTTTCCTAGGGCGTCCCTTCCCGACTCGGCCATTCACATCTGCCATATAAATTTGCTTTGTCACTCTTTCCTCATTCATTCTTTCTACGTGACCAAACCACCGAAGCATTCCTTTCTTAATCCTGGTCACAACATCATCTTGCATACCACATTTATCTCTTATCACGCAATTTCTCACCCTGTCATTCAGATTTTTTTTTTGTCAACACCATCCTTACCATGTCCCAAAACTGCTCTCGGATGTAAGTGGGCTTAGACATGTCTGGGGCGTACACCCCTAGCAGGAACAGCTTCTTTAAGCCCACTTTCATTCGTATCCATAGCAGTCTCGGGCTTACACATTCATACTCTTTCACACATTGACCCATTCTTTCTGAAAGGATGAAACCGACTCCCCTGGCATGCCCGTTCGGTCTCGCCTACACCAGACCAATACGCGGTATACGTGCCATGTGCAGTGGCATCTTTTCCCTTTCGTTTCGTCTCATTCACACATAACACATCTATTCCTCTGTCATTCATCATTTCGCATACTTCATCCATCTTATCATTCATTCCTCCACATACATTCAGCGTAGCCAGACGGGTTTCCGCAATCCACTTTTCGCCCCTCCGGGAGACAGAACGTGACGGGTGGCGAACCTCGTCGCCGGTTTTTCTCCCGGAGATTCTTCGCACCCCTGCCCCATTTAAAGGGCGCCGGGAACTCGGGGCCATTTCTTTTATTTCTTGAGTCATGGTGCGAACAAGGGTTGGTGGTAGATTTTACGCCGCTACCATACGGCGAGGAGCCGAGTCTATTTTATCGGCTTTGTCGCTCGTTTAGCACCACCCGGGGGACACGTGTAGGGTGGGCCTAAGGTTAGGTGGTCGAAGCCTACGGACGCGAGCGACTCATCCCATCCCATATCCCATATATTTAGTATTTCATTATAAAAGTGGCAGCGAGATAAATCTCGAGAGATTTGGAAGAGACCTTTACTCAACGTTGGGTGGCTAAAGATTAAAGAAGAAAGATTATTAGTGGACCCACTGACAACATCTTTAATCACTATATATAACTTCTTCTTCTTCTTGTTTACTTTATGGATTCTCTTAAGACTTTCTATAACTATGGTTCGATCGCTGACATTGCCATTTCTGTATCCGTTTATGTTGAACATGATGGTGTTACGTCTGGTTCTACTGACTGTTAAAAACTTCTCAATTCAGGATTATTCAAAGAATTGTAGTATACAATAATAATTTTCTCGAGGTTATCATTAATTTATTAGTCTATACCTTTTCAAATTCAGGATCCACTTGTAGACTGAAAAGGATCTCTGCATATCCACAGAAGTAAGTGGTAAATACCAGAGTCATTTACTTTATTACATGTACATGTATCATTGTATCATGATTTTTACATTTACAAATGTATTTTTTTAAAACCACAAAAATTCGGGTTTTCAACTTTTGACCTTACTATGTTGCACATAATGAGAAAATTTATCTAGTCAACATAAAAGTCATGTTTTTGTGATTTTAGATGCAGAGTTCTTTTACGTTTCGTACAACTTATATTTCCAGTCGATGAGTGGAAAAATATCTCTGGGTAATTTCATAGCCATGACTGAGCTATGTCTTATCTTGGAGTTAAATCATGATAGCAAGTAAAAAATATCATACATTATTGGTTTGAAAAGACGGGTCGAAATACAGTATCACGTCACAACACAACATAGCGCATTGTTTTAAAAGTACCTGATACATTGCAAATCTGTTTAAAAATAGTCTCTTAATGCAACAGTCTACCAATTGAAGAGCAGAACATGTTACTACCTGGCGAAAGTACAATTACTCAGGCTCAAGCACATTTGAGTTTACTATGAGTTATAAATAATAATAATAATAATAATAAATATTTATTTCATTTCCAATTACACATGTTTACATACAGGAATAAATATGATTACAATTTAATAAAGTAACAATAAGTCTAACAAAAATAACATACTATAATAAAATTAAAACTATGTGTAGCTTAATAATGTAGAATATACAAAAGAAAAAAATAAAAAGTCAAGTTTATAATACTAGCTAACTGCCTGAACTAGGTTGAATACCTGTGTTTCAGACATCACTTACACAATGTGTTTAATAATGTAGGACACTAGATATTTAAATAATTAAACTATATTATATAATAAATAAAATAACTAAATAACAATATAACAATTAGTTGTTACCAATTAATACAAACTATTTTAGAATTTCTAACAACTTCTCTGTGTCTTCGTAATTTAATTTATTTAGAAATTCCCTTACACTTATATTACAGTTCTTATAACTTATAATTTGTTACAATTACTTTAAAAATATCGATTCAATAAATATATATACTTTTTTCACTTGTCCATCCCTATGACTGAGTAAGGTCGTAAAATCAGGGTAGTGTAATAACTGACGTCCCTAACTAGCGGCCACGCCCACCCTTCATTTAGGGCCCTGATTCAGGGTGGTGTAATAGGGGCATTATATCATACATATTTTCTCACTATAATCAAAATCAGTTTTCCTGCTATATACAAATAGGAACAATGGATTTCAATGATTTTGTTAAAATAAATAATTCTTACCTTGTTAATAAAACAAATAAAGCCGCAGAGCAGGTAAACCCAGGATTCGTGGCACAAATTCGTTGTTCCAAGCAAAACAAATTGCCAAATCACAATGCAAATCAGATACCGTCGTTCAATAACCAAGTAGATAATTATAGAAATGAGAAAAAACTTAAGAAACTCACACAAACACAAAGCAAGCACAGCGACGAATGTAGTTGTACTTGTATTGTCGCATCGCTACTTCCGCACAAGTAAGTATAATTTGCCGTCTCACTCGCACTCTTACAAAATTCTTACATTCCCAAGGTTTAATAGGTCCGATTTGACACTTGTTACAGTGTAATAAGATTGTTTTTGCTTCGTCAAAAATCACTGACAAAGTAGGGAAAAGCAACCACATTACATTGTACGTAGGATACTTAGTAAGTTTTGAGATATACAAAAAGTATTCTAGATACTATTAATATTTATTTTACATCTTTTCAAAATATTCTCAATCATGCTCTATACAAAGTTCCATTCACCTAAATCAACTCTGAAAACACTTTTGCCAGTCTTGATCTGATAGGTTCGGAAACCGCTTCTTCTTAGGCAGCCACTGCTTCTTCGGTGCTTGAAAAAAAACTTGCCTTTTATTTTTTCTTTGAATCATGGGAACAAAAAGAAATCACAAGGAGCTAAGTCAGGGCTGTGGGGTGGAGGACTTAGAGTTTCAACACCAGATTGCTCAATAAATGCTTTTGTTCTAAGGGAGGTATGTGAAGAGGCTTTATCGTGATGCAGCATGATTCCCCGAAGCCCGGTGTTTGGTCTTCTCTCCCATACAGCTTGAAAATCTTTGGGTAATGCAACTGCAGTATACCATTCAGAGTTGACTGACCTACAATTTTCCAGCATTGACGTCAAATGTCCGCTACGCGAAAAAAAACAGCCACCATTTTTTCGCTGATGTTGCGAGGTCTTTGCAGTTATGTCGATAGCTGTCCTTTTGAGTAGACCTATACCGATGATTTCCTTTTATTTTCAGAATCATATTGATAGATCCATGTCTCATCATTAGTAACGATTTCTGAAACACGCCTAGGTGCCCCATTTTCAAAATATAGGCGCATTTCATGTCACCAATCCACACAAGTCTGTTTTTCGCTTTCGGAGAGCAAATGAAGGATCCATCGACAACAAAGCTTCCTCACACCAAGATGTTGATGTAGGATGGTATGAATGTTCCCCGAACTAATGCCTACAATGTCCGTATATGTAATTTGTGGGTCTTCTCGCACCAATATTTTTGTGGTCCATACATTTGCCGTTATTGCTGTTTGCTGGGCCCCAGTTCTTTGGTCATCTTTAAGGTTAATTTTACCCTTTTTGAATCCAGCAAACCACCTAAAAATAGATGCGCGTGATGGAGCTGAGTCCCCTAATGCGGATTATAATTGTTGTAAACTTAATTGTTCGGTTAAACCAAATTTACAAACATAATAGATCATAGCGCACATATGTGTGGTTAAGATCCATAGTTTTAAATGCAGGAAGGGTTGCAGGAAAATTAATAGAAATTTGTTTTTTTTTTAATATTGAGCAATTGGCTTTTGTGGTTCCATTTTTAAATAAATTTGCTTTTTAGAAACATATAACATTTTTAAATTTCGAGCATCCCAAAACTTATTGAGTGACCTACATAACAGGGCAACTCTCATTTGTGTCAAATTGGGGTTATATTATCTCACGGAGTATACACTTAAATTTGAATTTCTGAGATTTTTTTGATCAATAAGTGCTTTCCATAATAGCTAACATCTCAACTTTAGGTAAATATGCATCTGAATATCTGATTTATATTTATGACCAATAGTGAAATTTGCCAACAGCAAACAATGTAAGCATACAGTCAGTCAGTGACCATTTCATTGCAGCTGCCTAATATTTATTATAAGATTTTCTTGTGCTGTACTGTGTTGTATTTACAAAATAAATAAAAATGATTTCTTTTTTTTATTAATTTTACAAATGATCAAAAATTGTAAATAATAATTGTTAGAAATACTAGTTATTCATTTTGATTAAGATGAGTGAGGGAGTAATAACACATACTCATGGTTACTTTTTACTGTTTAGACATTAACTCTTAATAACAAAAAGTTTACCCTGTTAAAACTGCCCTGAGATACAAGGTTTGACTCAAATCATTTGATCAATCAATAGTTATTTTTTCTTTATGTTTTACTAAAGGTAACTGATATACAAAACATCCAAGATTAATCTGTACGCATTATCCCAGGTTAATAATTAGTGGGGAGTTGATACCTTCTCACTAATAATGTAGCCCCCATTACTTTGTAGTTTTTAATTTATATTTATTTTTAGTCTTCACAAGTATTTTCTTATCTCCCAGGATTTAATAACAGACCACTTTTTCAGGTGTTTAATAAAATAGACAAATGTACCTTCATTTAGATTATTAAGTTACTTAGCCAGAATATTGCATGAAAGTGAGATTGGTAGAGAAAGAAACTAATTTACCTTGATCCAACCCTTCATTGACTTTGTAGCACCCTCTAAGCCATTAGCAATATTAGCTAACTCTGTCCATAACGCCTTAAACTTTTCATGGCTCATGCCATCCCTTTGTTTGCGGTTAGCTATGTCTGGGTGTTTCTCCATGAATTCTACCACAACTTTTACTTGAGCTAATGAAGGTCTGACCTATAATTACACAAATAAATATCATGGCCACTTTGTACTCAGCTTTCTGGAAAAAATTTATAGCTAAAATTACGATCAAAATTCATGATGATGATACAAAAATTGAACACAATAATTATCAAAACTAAAAGCTTTAGCTTCACTAAAATATTTTCTAATGTATTTTTCTCTGATATTGGTACAAAAGATACATCGGTTCTGGACTTTTTAACCCCCGGCGTAAAAAAGGGATGTTATAAGTTTAACCGCTATATGTGTGTGTGTATGTGACACCTCTCTTAAGTAGGTGAAGCTATTTGGGTGCAGTTTTTTATTTAAAAGCAGGTCTTCTAGCAGTGGTTCTTAGACATGTTTTATCAAAATCGGTTCAACCGTTTGAAGATATTCAGCTTTTTTGTTTAATGTCAAATTTTCTTCACCTAAGTGTACTTCAGTCTTCATCCCAAGTGCAGCTAATTATGTACAAGTTCTTTGTTAAGGGTCGGCTTTAGTAATCTGCTGCACGATTTAAGTGATCATTTTAGCTTTAGTTGATAGGTAATGATGCTATTGATTACCATCTAGCTGCTTTTTATGCCGGAAATCCTTAGTTTTCGAGATATCGATAATTTTAGTTTTGAGGTTATGTCCATTTAAAAATTATACTATACGATATAAAAACATAATTATTTGATCATTTTAGCTTTAGTTGACAGGCAATGACACTATTAATTATCATCTAGCTGTTTTTTTTATGCCGGAAATCTTTAGTTTTCGAGATATCGACAATTATAGTTTTGAGGTTATATCCATTTAAAAATGATACAAATACGAAATAAGTAGGAGTGGTCGTTACAAAACGTAACTAGTTACTGAAACTATCTATTCACACAATAGCGGGTAACGGGTTATTGCAGTGCAACGAAACTATCTATTACAGTAGACGTTTTACTCAGTAACATGATTCACGTTTCACGAATCACGAACGAGCGATCAGTAACAAAACGTTTATTCGGCTATTTCCGCGACGCACCGGCGACGGCTTCGGCTGTTGAAGTAGAAGCACATGAGTAGACTTTAATACCTGTAGAATGGAGTAGATGGCGGCGGAAAATATTCTATAAAGACATCAATACATGTATTCATTTGATTTATTACATAAAAATGTAGGCTTGAGATGGCTAAAAATAAGCATTGTATTGTAATAATTATTTGCTATAAAATCAAACTTACATATATTCAATATTTTATACTGAACTTGTGGGTGAATTTATCATAATCATAATTATTAAATAAATCGTTTGCCATTAAATCATTTCAAGTGATATTTTTATCAAACCGTGCGAAATGATTTAACAAATAAATAAATTTAACCATTAACACCATGTCTAATTCTATACGAAACGGTAACAAACAAGTTTTCTCGTGATACGGACATCGTTTCATTCGCAACGTTTTTCAATTAAACACGTCGTGAAACACTCTATTGAAGCCGCTATTAAAATAGAATGTTTCAAAACCCTCTATTAAAATAGAGTGTTTCAAAAGCCGCTATTGATATTCGATAGATAGTTTCGTTTCGTTCCTCAAAAATGCCGCTACTACCCACCGCTAGAAATAAGAATATATTTATTACAAAGAGATAGCAATAGAGCATGGTCTGTACTCTGTTTTAAAAAAAAATAAGCAACAAGGATATAATTATTAGAAAGAGATAACAATAGTATAGTTTGTATGATCTATTAATCTATTTATAGTGCTATCCTACTCTAACATACGATGTTAAACCACGTATTGTTTTTTAGTCACCATCCATTCCACTTTCGCCTTCGGACTTTGAATGTTTTGCGCTCATTTTTTGCTCCTAATTCTTGACCCTTGCTCGATTATCGGACCTCCGTTTACCGCCTGCTCTATTTTCGACCTCTGCTTGTTTCTTGGACCTGTGATTTGCCTTGACGAAGACCCGTGCTCGAATACCGGACCACCGATTTGCCCTACGAAGACCCCTGCACGTTTTCTTGGACTTTGCCTACCTGTCTGTCTACCTGAGAGACCCAAGATGGCCGACGACTCTACGCCGTCAACTAGTTCGGCCGGTCCGTCTCCGTCGAACGCAAGCGACGCCGCCGCAACGGATGTAGTACCCTTCGCGGAGCTTTATGGTGATTTTGTGCGCAGGCGTTTATATGTGGAAGAAGGAGCTAAATTTTTTAATTTACCCCGAATCGTGCGAGAACTCAGTACCAGAGTACAGTGTGTGGAGTTTGCCATTGAAAATGGCTTAATCCCTGCCACTAAGGAGTGCCGCACCCATAGAGTGCCAATGAAAGTGGTATATGGGCAGTTGCAGAGCCCGATCCAGGGTAGCTCGTGGCAAGGGCACCTGGTTTGAAAATATTAAAATGTCATTGCCACGGGTATTCTATCTGATGTATTGTTATGCGCATCGCTGGAGCTATGAAGATGCAATCCACGAAGACCCAGAAAAAGATATAGAGGGAGGCTGCTTATCTATGGCGACTGTCTGCGATTGGTACAATTACTGCCGGGAGACAGTCGTCATTTACCAAATAGAGCAACAAGAGGCCATCGGCAAGATTGGTGGCCCAGGAAAAGTAGTCCAAATAGACGAGTCAAAATTTGGAAAACGGAAATATAATAAAGGTAATTTGATTTTCTTATATTACAGACTGAAACAATATATTTATAATAATAATATAATGATAATTAAATTTATTTCAGACCTACATATAGTCCATAATATGTTAGTAAATTAGCTTAACCTATGTTAGTCTTAAATTATTACACATTATTTATTTTAAAGTTTACTTTTGAACCCAAATTATCTTTTAATACCTTTTATTAAATATATTTGAATACCTTTTAAAGCCAAAATATCTGGAAGAAATCAGTTTCAGAGTGATAAGACAGCCTGTTGTACATATTCTGCTATAAAATTTTGTACTTTTGTATTTGTTTTTTTTTTTGTAATTTTGTACTATTGGGTTTTGGTGTACACTGTACAATATAGAGTAAATAAATAAATAAATATTTTGAATATTTACTAACTCTAAATTGTTTATTGTTGATTTTAGGAAGGCAGATTGAGGGCCACTGGATCCTCGGCCTCATTGAGGATGGAAGTGAGGATTTACGACTAGAGGTGTGCCCTGAAAACATCAGGTCAGCGGACATACTAGTGCCCCTAATTAAAAAACATGTGGTTGAGGGCACCACAATCCATACAGACTTCTGGAGGGCTTATGATTGTTTGGGGCAACATGGGTACATTCACAAGAAGGTGAAACATTCATATCCTGAGAACCCATTTGTTGCCCCTGATGGCACTCATACTCAAAGAATCGAATCGCAATGGCGGGTGGTTAAAAGATTTTTCAGTAAATACAATTATAACCACCCGGAAAACTTTTCAGACATTATTATAGAATATTTGTGGAGAAGGTCAGTGCAAAGAAAAAAAAGGATCCTTTTATGGAACTAATTAAAGTAATTAACCATGTATATAAATAAATGTTTTTATAATATTATATTTGCTCATTTCTTTTGATCAAACCCTAGTACCAGAAGGTATAAATCACAAAACCGAATCTGTCAACCCCAACTTCCACGTGGTCTTTCCGCTCTTACCCCTAGAGTGTATATGAAAATCCGGAAGCGCGGAGGGAATGCAGCCCTCGCCCGCTGTAACTAAGCGCAGGCAGCGTACGAGCCGTAGCGGCTGAGGCTGGTCGCCGAACGCGACCAAACAGCCGAAGCTGCGCAGGTGAGCTAGGTGCCTGTGCTTAGTTACGCAAGGGCGAAAGGGCTGCACTTCCCCGCAGCGCTGGAGCAGAAGCAGAGTCAAAATAGTGTTAATTCCCACCGTTTTTCCCACCCTAAATACTGCCACATTCCCACCGGGACCCGAATGTGAGTTTTTCGTCGCCGGACGCCCTTTTTAGGGTTCCGTAGTCAACTAGGAACCCTTCTAGTTTCGCCATGTCTGTCTGTCCGTCTGTCCGTCCTCGCTTAATCTCTGTGACCGTTAGCACTAGAAAGCTGAAATTGGGTACCAATATGTGTATCAATCACGCCGACAAAGTGCTAAAATAAAAATTGGAAAAAAATGTTTTATTAGGGTAGCCCCCCTATATGTAAAGTGGGAAGTGATTTTTTTTTTAATTTCAACCCTAACGTGTGATATATTGTTGGAAAGGTATTTAAAAATGAATAGGGGTTTACTAAAATAATTTTTTGATAATGTCAATAATTTCGGAAATAATCGCTCCAAAAGTAAAAAACAATGTGTCCCCCCCCCCTCTAACTTTTGAACCATAAGTTTAGAAAATATGAAAAAAATCTGGAAAGTAGAACTTTATAAGGACTTTCTAGGATAATTATTTTGAACTTGGATGGAAAGAACAGTTTTTGTACAAACTCATAAGTGGGAACAGTTACTGTGACGGACGGGAAACTACGGAACCCTACACTGAGCGTGGCCCGACACGCTCTTGGCCGCTTTTTTTTATTAAACGAAAGCGAATTTTCCTTAAATGTAACAAAACTTTAAAAATTCATAAAAAAAAAAAAGGTGGGGTTTCCGGCACTTTTTTCCTTTCAGGGGGAGGTTCCTCCCCCTCCCCCCCCCCCCTCCCCCACCAACTCGGCGACCATATATTCATGCAGCAGATTACTAAAGAAAACCCGAAGTTAATATTATGACTGTTAGTAACTTTCTGATCTGGTTTAGTTAATATTCTTCATACATTTTAAGTCTGTTATATTAATTTTATAGCATTGCACTTACTCGGCTTACGTTTTCTGAAGTTTCAACATCGTCTAAAAAATCCCCCATTTTTAATGTGTGATTTAGTGAGCTAAATAACCTAGTATATATACAGTAATCTATGTAAATAACGCGTTTATTTTCTAGATAAACTCAACCAAAAGCCAAACCCAATAAACAATGCATTTTGACACAACACAAGATTGTAGTTGTACGGAATCGGGAATACGGAAATTTTGACAGTAGGGTAGGCATGTGGATCTTAAATCAATTAATTGAAAATCGATTATCTAGAGTGAAATAATCGACTTTTTAGATCGATTTGGAGCACCGCATGGATTCGATGAATCGGTCCAAAAACCTCTCGAATCGGACTGATTCATCTGATTCAAGAACCCGCGCTAAAGTTCTCATATACAGACACAGTTCATAGATAATACACTATATACCAGAGACTGCCGGCCGAGGCCGAATGCTACAAAGACGTGTCGCTCTTTTTGCCGCAGTATTAAAGTTAAAATTTCTTAATGTATTTGTATAATTTTATTTTTAAATTCATTGTTTCATAAATATTTTTTCTTAAATATTCTTGTTTCGTGTACATAAAAAAATAATAGTAAAAAAAATATTGATCGAATTATTAAACATCTACTTATGTTACCGTTACAGATACAATAAAATAATTTAGTATTTTTTATCTAATCAAGCTTATGGCCTATCGAAATCTGGAAAAAAATCATCATACCAAATTTAAAACGAGAGTTCGTTTCATAAAAGAAGTCCCACAGAAAATGTGCAAACTAAAATTTTATGTATGGAATTTGACACCAGATGTCAAACTTCACAAAGACTGTGTTGCCGCGGCTAAGGGACTTCTTTCATAAAACTATGGAGTGTAGAAGTAGGGAGTACAGACTGTGTATTAAAAAGTGTCCCTAAAAAACCGTTAAATAAGGGTGGCGCCACTATGGCTACGGGTTAAATTTTAAAGAACATGCTGAAAAATATTAGTGGGATAGACGACTTTTTCGAGGTTATATTTACTAAATAAAATTATTTTAGATTTAAGAGCTACTGAGCAGTTTAGTAGCTCACTTCAAACATCGACAACTGCTAAGTTCATTTCATCCCAGTACTCCAGCGCTCTTGTAGAGAGTTTTTGAACTTGTTATTTACCGCATACAGATGGACACTTTTTCAGCTATTCTACTAGGGGAGTTGGTACTCATTACTTCTGCATTCCTTAAATAAAATAGACTCTAAACTGACTATTTGTAGTTTTTACGATTCACCAATTAAGGAAGGTGAGGTCTAAAACCATACAGTCTTGTCTGATGTGAATTTTAAAAACATCAAACAAATTTTGCTACATATACGTTGTCAACTAAGATAAAATGCCCTACAACCTGTAATTATATATAAAACACAAGGTATATGTAATTATAAAAGTTCAATTTAAGAAAATATTGCAAATTCTGGAAACTTAGAGCAAGTGAACACCACTAACTAAGAACACGAATGAAATAGCAACTACGTAATTACATATAAATAAAATAAACAATACACCACATGGTTAAAAGAGGTGAACTCAATTAGTTGTCAAACACACACAGTTAACTATAATTTTAATATTTCGGAAGTTGGTACAAAATTTCGAGTTTGATGGAAAAACTCGCTCTAAATTATGGAGTTTAGAAGTAAGAAGTACAGACTGTGTATTAAAAAGTGTCCATAGAAAACCGTTAAATAAATGTGACACCACTACAACTACGGGGTATACTTTAAAGAACGCACCGAAAAATATTAGTGGGATAGACGACTTTTTCGAGGTTATATTTACTAAATAAAATTATTTTAGATTTTAGAGCTACTGAGCAGTTTAGCAGCATACTTAAACCGTCGACAACTACTAAGTTCATTTCATCCCAGTAACTACTCCAACGCTGTTGTGGAGAGTTTTTGAGCTGTTATTTACTGCTTGCAGATGGTCACTTTTTCAATTATTCTACTATAGGAGTTGGTACTCCTTGCTTCTACATTCCATACTCTAAATGTTTAAAAATGTCAGATTAATCGAAAATCGATCTTTTAATCCTCGATTTAATCGATATTCGATTCTAGTATCTTCGATTCGAATCGATTAAGAGGTCGATTTTTTAAGAGTGAATTGACATGCCTACGGTATGGATGTTTGATGACCATCGATGTTCAATAATTATTGATGTTAAAAATTAAATTATCGATGTTGCCACATGTCAAACATCAAAACACCGATATCATGAACCCATAATTGATTATTGGAAAGTTATTTTCAAAAGCTGGCTCGACTCTTTATCAGAGAAACAGATTGAAAGGTACTTATTTGCCAAAATTACTATCTCTTCAATCAACAGAAAAAATATTGGTTTGTAAAACTAATGAACTATTTTTATATATTTGTTAACTTTTTCAATTTTTTAAATAAATATTTTAAACTACGTATTGTTTAACAATGTTTATATATAGTATAGTTTGTATTAGTTTTTTGTATTATATATAATAGTATACAGTTTTTTTTATAATGTTATGGTATTCTTTACTCATTTCTTTTATTTAGTTAATAATACACCGTACATAACATGTCTATTTTTTATTGGTCTAATTCTAGCCTGTTAAATACATGTGCATAAACAATTGATTCCACATCGATTTTTTGAGTAGGATAAACATTGAACATCGATGTTGCAGCTATCGATGCCAACATCGATGTTTCTGCAACATCGACCATCCCTATTTGACAGCTGTCAGATATATTGCCCTAACCCTAGGCATCAACAAAAATATCAGTACACACAATATTAGATTCTTAAGAAAAATCGATATTGTTTCGTTAGAGTTGGTAATCATGTACAGTTTTCTATTAATACCAGAATAAATTATAAACGGCTAAATTAAAACTTTATATCAGATTATTCGTATTTATTTTTACTGCTCATTTCACAGGCGAATTTTAGTCAAGTCAAGTTAAGTCCAAACCCTCTAAAATCACCTTATTTACTTGGAAATCTCCTCAAAATAAGTACTTCGTTTTGTAATGTTCTTCTTATATAAATTATTTAATATTATTCTTTGATGCTTCTGACATATTAAAATCTTATATTTGGATATTAAATAAATATACACTTTAATTAATGGACAATTTATTATAAATGATGCGCTATTTCGTTGCAATGTGAATTAGATCAAAAATCATCACACAAAAAAATGGAAAAAATATAAAAGTCCCCAAAATACTTCTAAAAATATGAAGCCCGTAAAAAATACCATTCCAATGTACCACCTAAATTTCGGAGCAAAACCCCTAATTTGGGAACCCTTGCATCCAATAGCCATACTTTATAATTCATGGTAGCCATATGCAGGCGTTTCCCTCTGTCAAAGTATAAGTACACAAGATGGTCCTATGCCGAGTCTGTGCTAGTCCTTCTTATTAGTTTATAAAACTACTTACAGCCGCACTGCTTACTACTCACTAGACTTGTAGCTACACTTTCTCGTAAAATATAGAAAATTTAGCCCCGATAAGAGCTATTATATTTTCAGCATGGAGCATGATACTGTTCTTTACGAAGATATGAACACGTAGTAGAAATGCAGATCCATTCGACGCGAGCGCTCAGTAGAAATAAGACGCCTCCTTCTTTATTTTATATTTCTGAAAGTGTATGTTGTTGGCCCTGCGGCATTTACAGCTGCATCGAAATAGACTCGTGAGTGAGGAATCGCGAGCTATTGAGTATAATAATTCAGCACGATGCGCCGCGTCACCAGCTGCATTTCCGAGGCACCCCAGACCCTGCTTTTTGGAGTGAGTGAGTGATTCAAGGACCAGTCAGAAGGAGGTATGAACCTCGGCTTGAACCACTATCGCGAAAACTATGTGAGGAAATGGGTCGTAACTAAACGGGTTCTCTCTCCTGTGGGGGGGAGGTCGATCTATTTATGGAGGTGATCTCTTCAACGGGAAGAACGTTCCTGGTACATCTCCTGGAGGGGGCAGCAACCCTCTCTGAGGAGTGTGAACCCGCCTCCACCAACAAAACCGAATGGAAGTATCTTAAGCATAATTCTTAAGATAAGAAGAGATGGTGGGCATATTGAGGTTACGGTAAAGATCCACCGTCCTCATATATAAAGGAGCTCCTATGATACGACGCAGGAACTTATTTTGGACAATTTGAAGTTGCCGATGTAGATAAGGTTGGTTATGGGCAAAAGATACACCTGCTTAAGTTATAATTGGACGTACGCAGGTTTTATAGAGATGCAAGTTGTATCTTAAAGACAGCTAACTGCGTTTATATGTTAAGGCGAAAAGGCGATATAATACAAACTCCGCCTTATTTTTGACAGCTTTTGTGTGATGAGTAGAGATCGGATAATCGGATGCATATTTATCTTAAGTTATTTTTGGCTAACAAATTATGGAAGCGGCTTCTTGGGATATTTTTTGAAAATAAAATCCCGGAATTCCTAGATCGCGTAACTAATCGGATCTACCTTTACTTAAAGTTAAATTTTGATTTCCCATTCGAGTATGTGTGTATGTAAGGTGTAAGATAAATGGCGGTGTGGTAAATATTATTTTTAAATATTTTACCAGCAAGTAAAATATACGTTACACTGATAATTGGTGGTGCGGTAAATATTATTTTTAAATATTTTTCCAGAAAGTAACATATATACTACGCCGTCGCTACACATTACGACGTCGTACACTTTATTGTTAAATTGGTCCTGACATAATTTTTTTAGACATTGAATTACAAACTCGGACACAGTACGACCTTTAGTTAATCACATCAAAAGTTTGACAATTATACACGTAAATTTATCCCGATTATTTCGTCCCAGAAAATCGGTGACTTCGTCTAAAGAAATCCATATCTTATTGTTTGTACTTCAATGTCAGTGGCGAAGCTTCCATTAAAGCCGAAAAGCCGGGCTTGCCTTATTAAAACTGAATCCATCAATAATATCAATCAATAATATCAATTAATAAAATAACTCCTAAACTGTTTCAAATTATT